GTGCAGTGGCACATTCTCGGCTTATTGCAACCTCCTCCTCCTAGGTTCAAGCGATTCTCCTGCCTCAGCTACCCAAGTAGCTGGGATTACAGGCGCCTGCCATTATGTCCGGCCAATTTTTGGATTTTTTCAGTAGGGACAGGGTTTTACCATGTTGGCCAGGCTGGTCTTGAACTCCTGACCTCAGGTGATCCACCTGCGTCAGCCTCCCAAAGTGCTGGGATTACAGGCGTGAGCCATTGCGCCCAGCCTGTGGATACTTTTACTCAGAGTTATCTCCATGAGATTCACCCATGAATACTACCTGTATCAGTACAGTCTTCCTTCAGCATCCTCGGAGGATGGCTGCCTGCTGGGAACAAAGCATAGGCCAATAGCGTGGGCAGCTGTTTGCAGCCAGAATGGATGTGTATCCAAGCTGAGGTCAGGGGAGGGGGGCCACTCTCTATGCTAGGGATTCTTGTGACTCTAAAATTTCTGACCCTGAGGGCCTAGAACCTCCTATGTATCACTAGGCGTGTAGTTTGAGCACACAGAATCCATGGCCCTCAGTTATGCCCTCAGATGAACAAGTCGCTTGTTCCCATGGGACCAGCATCCAGGAACGGCTGCTTTCCTATGCATTGTCGATGTCTTGTCTAGAGGTACCCCTGAGCCTCCCTCTCCATCCCTCGAGTCTGCAGCTTAGCTAACATCGCCGCTTTCTCCCCCTTTCTCCCTCTGTCTTGGTGGTGTCAGTGCAGCAGCTGCTGGAAGATGGCGCGGATCCCTGTGCAGCTGATGACAAGGGCCGCACAGCTCTACACTTTGCCTCCTGCAATGGCAATGACCAGATTGGTGAGTCCTAGGGAGGGAGGAGGGAGTGGGGCTGGGCAAGTAGTATCTCTGCACAGGCCTTCGGGGAGATGCTGCTGTCTGCACAGCCTTGGGATGCTCAGTTGTCCTGGATATAAGGAAGATTTGGCACTGCAGTGCCCTGCCCTTCTCCCTCCATTAGCCTGTGGAACTGGCACTGCTAGACTGGGGCAGGGTAAACCTGGGGGAGATAATATGATTGACTGAGGGTGAAGGGATGTCTCCAACTAAGAGACCACTGGAGAGTCCAGGGCCCAGGCCTTTAAGACATTCAGGTAACATTTACTCAGTGCCAACCACAGCAGCAGGACAGCTTTT